TTGGGAGATTCAAGTAGGGTAATTATAATAGCATATATATAATGTTATATTCTATTATATATATACTCATGATATATTATATATATATAATGGATAATATATAATCAGAAAATATTACTCTTCCCTGGAGGAGTTGTGACAAATTGGACCCATATACTCTTCAGGTCTCATTCCTGTCACAGTTCTCAATTTCAGAGCACAGCCCCCCGCCTTTTTTCTTTCCTTTCATTATTTTAAAATTTTTATTGGTTTTTACATACCAACCAAAGTTCCTGCTCCCTCTCCTTCCTATGTATTCTCCCACTCTCCATCCTCAGAGAGGGTAAGGCCTCCCATGGGTAGTCAACTAAGCCTGGCATATCAACTTGAGGTAGGACCTAGCTCCTCCCCAGCATCAAGGCTGAGCAAGGCATCCCACCATAGGGAAGAGGCTCCCAAAAGCCAGCTCGTGTGCCAGGGACGGATTCTAGTCCCACAGCTAAGGATCCCCCAAACAGACCAAGCCACACAACTGTCACCAACATTCAGACGGTCTAGTTTGGCCCCATGCAGGCTCCCCAGCTGTTAGTTCAGAGTCCATAAGCTTCCCTGGGTTTGGATCAGCTGTTTCTGTGGGTTTCCCCATCATGATCTTGACCCCTCCTCCTTGCTCATATAATCCCTCCTCCATCTCTTCAACTGGACTTCAGGGAGCACAGCCATTTTTAGATGGGACTTGTACAATGCGCTGGCGCTGTCCTGCGCACGGGTGACGATATTGGCATCTACCTGGTGTTAAACAGAAGTAGAAAGCAACTCAACTTTCCCTCTTCCCTTTGATTTTGACAACACATAACATCTCTACAAACTGCCTCCTGTTCCTGGGAGAAGCAACAGTTACTGACTGAGGACTACTGATGGAAGAGTTCCTGTGTCTGTGCAGTGCTCCTGAACAGCAGTGACAAGTGTCTTAGTTAGGATTTCTATGGCTGCGACGAAACACGCTGACAAAAAAAAGCAAGTTGGGCAGGAAAGGATTTATTGGTCTTACACTTTTACACTGCTGTTGATCACTAAAGGAAGTCAGGATAGGAACTCAAGCAATGCTAGAACCTGGAGGAAGGAGCTGATGCAGAGGTAATAGAGGGGTGGTGCTTACTGGTTTGCTTTTCCTGGGTTGTTCAGTCTGCTTTCTTATAGAACCCAGGACCACCAGCCCAGGGATGACACCACCTACTTTGGTCTGGGCCCTCCCCCATCAATCACTAATTGAGAAAATGCCTTACAGCTGGATCTCATGGAGGCATTTCTCCGATTGAGGCTCCTTCCTTTCTGATGACTCTCGCTTGTGTCAAGTTGACACACAAAACCAGTCAGTAGAACTGGAAGTTCTTCTAAAGGCTGTGTAACACCAGTACATCATCCTACCCAAGCAGAGATGAATAACTTTATGCACTAAGTAGATTAAATAAGTAGAGGGAATGATTACTTACAAGAAGATAGTTGAGTTGAGGAGAGCTGCATGTCTGAAAAACTCACAAACAGCATAGATAGCAAACCAGGATTCCTGCTTCCCGGGATCCCTGCTTTCAGTTAAATCTCCACTTCTATAACTCAGTACACCTCCCTATATACAGGAGTTAAGTTCTAAAATTCCAGGTAAAGCTCCTATGACTCTACCTACCCAGGAAACGTTGATAGCCTCATTGCCGTCACCACACTCCTAGCTACGTCTCGATTGCCCTTTGACACAGCTCCAAGTAACTTCATAAGTCAACAAGTCACTTCTTATTCCTAATGATGATGGTAGGGTCACATCCAAAGCAATGTAATTCTTTCCTAAATTCAGCCATTTCTTCAGCCTCTTCCATGATTTTGACAACTCTTTGCAGTGTTTCCTGAACCACTGAAATGACAGATGTTTTTTATCCTTTTAAAATGATTTTATTACCTCGCTCACTTATTCTCAGTTACAGAATGGGGACAAGTCTCTCATCAGAATCCCCAATCACCATACAGTTTGTTAGCCTATGCTGGAGAGGATGTGGAGTGAGGGGAACACTCATCCATTGTTGGTGGGAATGCAAACTTGTGCAGTTTGTCTTTGAAACCTAGGCTAATGACATGAGTAAATTATATGCCTAAAAATATTTGAGAATGCTGATGGGCACATCAGATCTGTTTCTATAAACCACAGCAAAAGCTTCCCTGATGACCCTGGAACCTCTCCAGTCACAGAGTATTGGTCTGGTTTCTGGGTTCTCCACAAAGAACAGGGTTGATATCTAAGCACAGAGAAGTTGGTTGTACCCATAGGAATTGTGTCACTATTGTGCCCCTGGTTACATTTTGCCTGGCTTTGTGATTGTGATAAGATGTCCCTGAGCAGGTCTGTTGGTATATCCAACATCGTGTGATTGGCACTGTCAAATACCAAATCATACTGAAAGAGATATTTGCTAGGCCAGACTTAGTTTTCAATATTTGAGAGCAGAACATGTGATATGGTTTTCATTCGTTTCTTACCATGTGGTTTTGCAGCATACCTCACAGCAGTGGCACAAGTCTTTCCCTAGGAAGGACCTCCGAGTCTTCCTGCTAAAAATTTGACAGTAATAATCTTGGCATTGGCTTTTTTCAACAAGCATATGGCTTTTATGTCCCAGGTTCTTTACATATGAGAGAAAGTATGAGATACATTTTCTTTGTGAGTCCATTTATTTTGTTAAACCTAACGAGTTCTAATTCCATCTATATTCCTGTAGAAAATAAAGCTTTCATTCTTTTAATGGCTGAGTAAAATTTCATTTGGAATAAAAACATATACAACTATATGTAAATATATATTCTTTAAAAATCATTTTGGATTTATTTTATTTTGTGTATGAGTATTTTGTCTGCATATATGGAGGTGCACTCATGCACACCTGGTGCCTGAGGATGGCAGGAGGGGTCATCAGATTCCGTGGTTCTGGACTTACCAGGAGGAGTGGCTATTAACCTGTCTTAGTTAGGGTTTATATTGCTGGACTTAAATATTATGTCTAAAAATACCTTGAACAGGAAAGCATTTATTGAAGTTTATAGTTCTATATAGTACCATACAATAGTCTATCAGTAAAGCAAAGTCAGAGCAGGAAACATGAATACTGGGAACCAACATGAACCAAGGCCTCTAGAGAACCCACAATTGATCTTAGCTCTCAGGACATCTCTCCAGCTCCATGCCACTTCCCATTTATGCATCTATTTACTGATGGACATCCAGGCTTGCTCTTATCTTGATCTTGACTAGCAGGGCAGGCAGCATGAGTGTTCAGTGTTTCTACACTAGGCTGATCAGTTTTTTTCTGTAGTTTAGTATAGTTGGATTATATAGGAGGTTTAAGTTGTGTGAGGACCTCACGTTCTGATTCTGTTATAGCTGCCCTGTTTTACATTCCCAGATGCCATGTATACTGTTGTCCACTTATATCCTTCCCAGAGTTTGTTGAACTTTCTGTTAGAGTCCTTGTGAGGAAGCTCTTGTCTATGCCAGTATCTTGAAAGGTTTTCCCAATGCTTTCTTCCAGCAGCTTCAGAATTCCAGGTCCAAATTAACATTGAGTCTCACGTGGAATTTTGAAGAATTATTCTAACTATTCTTTATTAATAAAAATTCAGGAGTTAGATATCGGGGTAAGAAGCTGAAGGATCACAGAGGCAGAGAAGCCACAACTCTTCTCCTACTTGTTTCATTCCTTTCTCCAAAAGAGCCTAGACGTCTCTCTGCTCCACCTTACTACTTCCTGTCCTATCTATCTACAGTCCTCCAAAACCTCTGTGGTTAATTTTGTTCGATGAGTGGCTAGCTCCACCCTCTGACTCCAAGCAAGCTTTATTTGTCAGAATACAATCAAAATAACCCATGACAGAATTATTTTGTACAAGGTGAGAAACAGGAATGAAGCTACCCTGTAAATATGGATGTCTAGACTTCTGACCACTGTTTGATGAAGATCCTCTTTCTTCTAAAGTATGTACTCGTACCTGTCTTTGTTTGGGTTAAATTGTTGTACTTAAACACTTTGTCCAAAGGCACCTTAAGGAGGAACATATTTAATGCTGCTTACAGTTCCACACACAGGCCTTCACTGAAGGACTTATCAGGGCAGGAATTTAAGCCTTGGAGAAAGCACTGAAGCAGAGGTTGTGGAGAAACACTACTTACTGGCTTTCACTCCATGGCATGCTCCACCTGCCTTCTTGTACAACTCATGGCCACTTGTTTAGGGGTGGCATTGTCCCCAATGTGGGGTTGTTGCACTCACACCAATCATTAATGAAGAAAATAGACAACAGATTTGCCACCAGGCAATCTGATGAAGGCATTTTCTCACATGAGGTTCTTCTTCCCAGACATTTATAGCATATATCACATAGGTAAAAGGACAGAAGTAGTAGCAGCAGCAGCAACAACAGCAACAACATAATAATAAATAACAAAAAAGCAAATTAGAAACTTTTAATTGAAAATAAAATTTTAAAAAAGAAGTGATTTTTTGTATTCAATGGCACATTGACTCATTGTAAAACGTAAAGAATGTTGACTGAGGTTTCTGTCCTGCCCGGTCCTGCAGCTATTCAGTCCCAAAGAAACACACAGAGGCTTACATTAATTATAAACTGTTTGGTTTATTAGTTCAGGTTTCTTATTAACTGTTTCATCTTACATTAACCCATAATTCTTGTCTGTGTTAGCCATGTGACTTGGTACCTTTTATCAGTGAGGCATTCTCATCTTGCTTCCTCTGCATCTGGGTGAAGACTGCAGCCTAAGTCTTTCCTCTTCCCAGAATTCTCCTATTCTGGTTGCCTTGCCTACACTTCTTGTCTGGCTACTGACCCATCTGTATTTTATTAAACCAATACAAGCAACAAATCATTACAGGGTGCAAGACCACTGTCCAACAACAAAAGAATCTTTTAAGGATTAAATCATTATGAACTGTCTCAGAAATAAACAAGAAGATTGAAAGCTTTCATTCATTATGAACAATTTGTTGTCTCAGGATATTGACATAATCAGACACTTTTTGTGTGTCTCTGTTCAAGCAGACGAACAAGCTATGTAGACCAAAAAGTTGGATTCCTCTTTGGGATTGCTGTAGATATGGCTCTCCTGACCAGGCAGTGTAGGTCTCATTTTTCTTAAGTTCAGGATGAACCTAATCACAAAATAATGATCAATCAGTTATTATTTATATTATTAATATTTTTTAGTCCTCATACTTTTAAATATTGAATAATATTTTGAGGAAAGGAAGGAATGTAAATCTTAAGCCAAAAATATATGTCTCATGTATGGGGACCTGGGAACTATAAGTCTGTTATTTATCTGAAAACTAGACAGAAGAATCATTTATATATTTTTTTTTGTAGTGTAGTTGATCTCCAATGAAGTATATCATCACAGGAGTAGACAGAATCGCTGCTTGGCTATTGACACACTTTTGACCAAAGGACAATGGAGAATCTAGAGTCAGTTTTCATGTGAGGAAATTTTCCATATTCTCAGTGCTACCTCTCATGTGCCATTTGTGTTTTAATAGTTTTCTTAGGAGACAATTTCTCTTTTCTTTCTTCAACAATATCTATTCTCCATGAATCATGGACATGATTCATCATTTCAAGGACACAAAAATGATGGGGGCCTAAAATACTTTCAGTTTAGGGATGATTTGTGTGAGAAGATGTGCTGAAATGGTTGAGATCTTTTACTCTGCCCAGGAAAGACACTGTCAAAATTGTTTCCTGAAATCATTAACATTAATTGGGGTCCCTGTGTTGTGGGGTACTAAGGAAAGTACTTTTGAGAAGTTTGAAGTGCTCCATACCCTTTAGTCCCAAGACTGTCTATGCGATTACCTGCCTAAATTTCCCTGTGGCAGACAGAGAATTAGTCTAAAGTTCAGTTTTCATTACAGATGTTACAGTTTTCATGAATAATGAGTGAAAGCAAGATAGTTTAATGAGATGACTCACCTGGCTGAGTATAGTATTAATGCCCTGCAGATTTTTTGTGAGTCTTTTGATTTGCCTATCAATCAAGGCAACTTTTGATATGGTAGCATATGGAGTTCCATCAAGGTCAGCCATACTGTTTTGTACATGGTACAGAAGGTTTTTCCAGGCAGCCAGCATTCTGATGGTCACATTCAGAAGGGTCACAGGCTAAGAAAAAAACCAATTGAGCATCATATAAGGGCACCACTGTAGTTTGAATTGCATGTGGTAAGACCACTAGTGTAGTCTTCATATCTTGTGACGTTTTTGATAATTAATTGAAGCAATATTGATACAGTGCTTTGGGAATTATATTGTCATGGAGTGGCTCTCGGCATCTCTCTTCCTTCACCTTTTCTTACGTTTTACAGTTGCTGTTGTGCATAGCAGATATACAGAATGAAGATTCCAGTAAATCGTTAAGAATATGTTATCGGTGTGCCATGTGGACATATTTGATGGTAGTTATTTTAAGTCATGTTGAGATTGGCTATGAGCAGGTCATTAGATAAGCAGACTTGATTAAAAACACATTGGGACTGTCTGCCTAGTTTTGATAGGCCATATTTGTACCCCATGAAGTATGAATAAGATGTTACTGGGCCCTGGGTAATGGTGTCAGATAAGAGTGAAGAAATAGGCAGAAGAGCAGAAATACAGCAGGGAACATTTCCAAGTCAAAAAGAGTTGATGCTGTGGTCAGTAGCATACAATGTTTCCCAAATATGCACTTTAGTAGTCATAAAATTGCAACTCTTCTTTCTTTTCTTATGCCTGCATATGAGAGTAAATTTAATCATGAAACTTCAAATCAGTTCAAAGTCTCTTACATAATTATAGGTTCAATGCCAATGGTAAGGCTGTGATTCAAATAGGGGCAATTCCATGAGCAATTCATGGATACATTAAAGTTACTCTCAATGTTATTTTGCATGTACTTTATCATCTGTGTTGTGTGCTTGTCCTTTCTTCACATTCCTGAAGGTGTGGTTACCGTGACTACATGGTGCCTGTTTTCAGGTAGCTGGGTGCGGACTCACCTGCATTCTTTGAGCTTTCCTTTTGCTGTTTGGGATGGAGTGAGATGCAGTGTGGCAGGTCATGGTGGGCTTGTTCTGAAACTTCTGGCCTGGATCATACTGTGCATCCTAGAAAGGATGTAAAAAAATCAGTTAGTTAGAACTTTGGAACGGAGTAAATGAACTTATGGGCAGAGTGGTAATTATTAATGCATTTTCTGTGTCTGTTAAAAAAACATTTATTTTATTAGTTTTTGGAGAATTTCAACGACGAGTACTGTATTTACGTAATTTCCACCCCCCACTCTCCTCCCTCAAATCTTTCTAGATCCTCATTGCCTCTCGACTTGTTCACTTGTTTATTATTGTTGCACATGTACAGGAACAAATAGACATATGTGTGCATAAGTAAGACCTGCTAAGTCAGTTTAGTGTTGCTCATATGTACGTGCATTTGTAAATAACCACTTGGTATTGGACAATGTCTAAAGGGGATTTTCCTCGAAGAATACTTGTTCCCTATCTATTTGAGGCCATTATTTGCTTGTAATTCTTTCTGTAGGGGTGGGACCTTGTGAAACTTCCCTTATCCATGTTGGGATATGAAGAGTACATTAAATCTCAAATTAAGAAATTAAAAAAGAGACCCTTGGCATATTTACTTCTTTCTATTGGAGATGTAACCTAATTTAATTTTCACATCTACCCTATTAGCTTCCCATGGCTTCGCAACTTTACAGCTCTGATTTCTCACTTGCCTAAAAGTTGCTATTTGCAAAGGAAGCACTAAAACACCTAATCTACAAAACACTATATTGTAATGATTATTTCTCTATAGGGTTATAGCCCAATGCCCAGTACATATATGTCTTCAATCTCTTGATTTCTGTTGGAACACCCTGACACATTTTCTTTAATTGCACATTATATAATTATATATATTTTTCTATTAGCACTGGAGCTATATACTGTGAACATATTAAATTTAATTAATATTTAAATAATATGTGATCCTATATATTTTTACTATGTTTATTATTTAAATTTGGTAATCAGCAAAATTATGAATTTTTTTGAGTTGTTACAGATGTTAATATGAAAGGTTGCCAATCAGGAAATAGAGAATGAAAAAATAAAACAGTTATTGCAGAGGACAGCATTAATAAATGTTTATCGCGCACATGGTAGCCTTGTGCTCATAGTCATTGACGTTGAAGCCCTCATCTATTTTTGCCTCCTGGGTAGACTTGGAGCAGGTAAGATCCAGTCTTTAAAGTACATACATCAGGAAGAAAAAGCCTGTTTGTGGTTCTAACCCAGCTCTCATTTTGTAAACTCATGTTCTCAAATTCTTTAAACAATGGCTCCCAGGTTTTGGGGTTCTAAAAGGCTATTTACTATTACTATTATTGTTGCATTTCCCCCCTTTTGACATTGTTTCAGACATTTTAATTATTTCCAGTTCAATGGATTCTTCCAATTTGATTCTCCGTTATTGTATATCTGCAGTATGCTAAGTGAAGAATGTCAGTGGAGACTTTGCAGAGCACCCAAGAACAGAAAATCAGAGTCCCCTTTCAGCCATTCCTTTTTGGACTTCATGCCAAGAGTAGAAATAAAAAAAATACATTACAGAAAAATCTTTTAAAAATGCTTTCAAAAGTATTTTAAAGTACTTTCATTTTCTCCTCCAATTCAGTGATTTTATGAAGCTCTCATTACCCCCCCCATATTTTAGTGACTGCTGCTTTGTTGTGTATTATTTAAATTTTGGTCCATATTTTCTCATTTAAACTTCTGTTTATCCCATTTACTGACATCAGGACCTTTTTATGAAATAGTCTAAAGTAAGTGAAGGACTTACAAATTCATTTAACGTTTCCAAAGAGAGGCGATTGATGGTCTCCGATATGGTGCTTGTCCTATTAAACATAAAGCGAAGGACCTTCTGACAGCCTCCATCTTTCATGAGACACCTGGGTACAGAAGCCACATTCTCCCACATGAGCAGCAGCAGCAGCAGCAGCAGGGCCCCTGCAAAAAAGGAATGAAATCACAGAGACAATCCATTCATGTGAAGTCACAAGAGTCACCCTTTTCTAGTCCCAGTGTCCTCTTTTGAACAGTGTGCTATATTTGAGCTGGAATGAGGAAAAGATGCATCACCCACTATGAAAATTTGTCAACAAATTGACAGTAGATGACATGATAAGAGAGGTTCTAGGACATCTGCTATGACAATACCCAACTTTAAAATTTGTGACAATGATATATACTGGTGTCATTATCAATGTGCTTTTGACAGACATGGACCTATAAAAGTCAATTTTAAGAGGGAAGAAAACTCAACTGCCGCTGTAAAAATGAGCTTTCAACTTCAACAATACTACAGAAAAGTGTTTTCCTATATCGAAGTCTGAGTCTTGGGCTGGGGGTTGTCTTCAAGGTTAAAGTGCTTGCCATGAAAGCGTGAAGACAGGAATATAAATTACCACTTCCAATTGAGTGCCTGAACTGTGGGGTATTCCAGTTTGCCATAACTGTACCTCCAGGAGTGGGGAATTGTAATGCACAGCCCAAGCTTGCTAGCATGACTATTCATAATGGTAATCTTTGCATTTCATTGAGAGATCCTGCCGCTACAACTAAGATCGAAGAACTATGGAGAGTGATTAACTCTATCAAAACCTTCATTCTTTGTGGCATGCACACACAACAATGAATGCCTTTAGATGCACATACTACATATATCCATGAAAAGGAAAAGATGAAACCAATTGCAAGCATTCAGGTACTAAAGTTTAAAGAGACTTTTATAAGTGTAGCTTGGATTGTTCAAGATTAAATTAATGAATTACTAAAAGATCTATGTATAGGAAATACCTACTCTCAAGTAGCCAAATAATTAAATAGATTGCAAGTTATATAGTGTATAAGTTAACTAAACAATATATTAAATGTAAGCTTAAACAATATTTTTAGAATTCACAGTGCCTTTAATTTTTCAAAGACAAGTGCTCTTTCCTGAGTTTGACACTTGATGAACACACACACACACACACACACACTCCTACTATTAATCATTGGAGAGATATACAAGGACTAAATAAGTACTTTTTCACATTTCTTAAAATGTATCCCACAATTGTGATTAATTCATTTTCTTAAAAAATTATCAAGAATGTAAACGCTAACAGCTAGCAACTATAGCACATATTTTTTATTTACAAATTAATTAGGAATGAGCCAAATTCTCAAAATCCAATAAGACACACATCTGTGAGCACTGTCTGCTTTAGCTGAATACTGGAAGCTTCATTAGGGTGGCTCAAGCCAGGCAGTTCATGGTGCCTTGGAGCCTGAAAGTGTCAACTGCATGATTGTGACAAATTAGAAGCATAGGCACCAGAGGTCCTCATTCCAGCATCAATTTCAGGAGCACAGCAACTTTTAGATAGATCCTTCCTTATTCTGGAGCTGTCCTGTGCATTGGAGGCAGTGAGAACATCTCTCTCATTTCTACACACTAGACGTCAGTAACACTCTCACCTTTTCTCCTCACTTCAATCAAGAAAACACACTTTCTACAGTTGGCGTTTAAAGGTTAACATTCTTAAGAACCACTCATCTAAATATTCTGCACATTTTTTTTATGTAGTAAAGATAAGAACTTCACAAGAGCAAAGAAAGTGTTCTATATGATGCCGGGTGGTGGTGGCGCACACCTCTAACCCCAACACTCGGGAGACAGAGGCGGGTGGATCTCTGTGAGTTCAAGGTCAGCCTGGTCTACAAGAGTTAGTTTCAGGACAGGCTCCAACGCTACAGAGAAACCCTGTCTCAAAAAAATCAAGAAAAAAAAAAAAGGTATTCTATACGAGTGACTGTAAAATGATGAATTCATTAGGCTTTGAGGAACAGAAGTAAGAGTACTTACAGGAGTGTGGTTGGATCAAAGACAGCCGCATCTCTGAGAAATCCCACCACAGTCTGAGTGCCAACTGAAGACGGCTGCCTCTCTAGAATCTTGCCTTCAGTTAATTTTTCTACCACCTATATAGTCCATCAGACAACCCCCAAAGCTATGCAGAGATGGTGTGTAGGAGAAAAGAAGATAGGTCTATAACTGTATCTACTTCCTGATGTCTAATGTTTATGTCACAGCCAGAGGAATGTAGTCATTTCCTAATACTTCATTCTTTCCTCAGGCTCTTTCGTTCCTCTGTCAACTCTTTGCACAAGTCCTTGAACCTTAAAAGGGTCGCATATTTTAATTTTTTTATGACCACCAGGAAACCATAGCACAGTAACAGCCTTGCTCTCAGCACTTTAATTGGTATGAATCTTTGCCACCACCCACCAAGCATTAGAGAGTTTATCTTTGCTATGTAGGCTAATAACAGGTATCTATTTTGAGAAGAGTGGTAGGTACACCAAATCTACTTCTCAAAAGGACAATAAAAATCTTGCTACTGAACCTAGGTCTAACCCAGTCACAGATTTTTGGCTTGGCTAACAACATGAAATATTGCTTCCCTATACCAAGGAAGGTTGAATTATGGCACAAGGTTGTTGTTTATTATTATACCTGTTGTGCCTTGGACTGGTAGTTACATCTTGTCTACTTTTGCAATTGTGTGAACAAGAGGCTGATCAGTTCATCTACTGGCACTTCACCCTAGTGTCCAATGTATTATACTTAGCACTATCAAATTTGCTACATTAGCATTTATAGATCATGTCTAGCCCATGCTTTCTCTATTCTGAAACCAGAACAGAGTATATCAACATCCATCAATAGATTCTTAACATTTGGCTCATGTATACCCATTGACAGTGCATGTATTCTGTGGACAGCCTCATGAACCTCCCTGATAAAACTATTCGGAAAATGACCAGTCTATCCCTGGAATTATTAATCCCTGGAATTATTAATAACTTTATGGCTTTTACACATAATATCACACCAAGAACAGCATCTGCTTACACATTCTTAATTATCAAACTCACTCTTCTGGTTAGTTTTCCAAATATGTAAGAAATAACAGTTTATTGTTGTGCAGTGCTAACTTTCACAGAGGGCTGCCTGATCTCTGAAGGTTTACTGTTGCCTTCGCCAAGAATATGAAGTTCTTACTAGGACCTAGCATCCAAGAGGAATAGGAGAGAAGAGGGCAAAACAATAGAAAGGATGTCTGTGAAGTCATAAGGAATCACATGATTTACCTAACCAAAAACACCTATAGTGCTTGTAAGTTGGTTTATAAATATACATATACAATTTAATTAAATTTTTTTATTTTACATACTAAACCTAGTTTCCCCTCTCTCTCCTCCTCCTGCTCTCCCACCTTTCCCCACCCCAACCCCCACCTATTTCTCAGAGAAGATGAGGCCTTTCATGGAGAGTCAACAAAGTTTGTCACATCACATTGAGGCAGAACCAAGGCCCTCCCTCTTGTTTCTAGGCTGAGCAATATATGTATCCCTGCATAAGAAATGGCTCCAAAAAGCCAGTTCATGCACTAGGGATCCATACTGGTCCCATTGCTGGTGGTCCACAAACTGCCCAAGCCACACAACTGTCACCTACATTCAGAGGGCCTAGTTCCATCCTATGGAGCTTCCCCAGGTGTCAGTCCATGGTTAGTTAGCTTTCACTAGCTCAGGTCAGCTGTTTCTGAGGTTTACCCATCATATTATTGCTCCTCCCTCTCTTTTACTGGGCTCTGGGGGTTCTGCCCAGTGCTTAGTTGTGGATCTCTGCATTTGCTTCCATCAGTTACTGAATGAAGGTTTTATGATGACAATTAAGGTAGGCATCAATCTGATTTCATGGAAAGGTCAGTTCAGGTACCCGCTCCAGTATTACTTAGAGCCTTAGTTGGGGTTCTCCTTGTGAATTCCTGGGAATTTCCTGAGTGCCAGGTTTCTCACAAACCCCAGAATGGCTCCCTCAATCAAGATAGCTTCTTTCTTGTTCTCTGTCTCTAGCCTTCCCCCAACTTGACCATCCCAGTTCCTCGTGCTCTCTCCTCCCCTTCTTCCCTTTACCCTTTCTCTTTACCCAGAAGTTCCCAATTTGTTCAGGAGATATTGTGTATTTCCCTTTCCCAGGGGGATCCATGTATGTCTCTCTTAGGGTTCTTCTTGTCATCTATATTTTCTTGGGTGTTGGACTATAGGCTGGTTATCCTTTGCTTTATGTCTAACATTTACTTAAAAGTGAGTACATGCTGTGTTTGTTTTTCTGGGTCTGGGTTACCTCACTCAAGTGATTTTTTTTGTTCTATCCATTTACCTGCAAATTTAATATGCCATTGTTTTTGTACCACTAAGTAGTACTCCATTGTGTAAATGTACCACTTGTTCTTTATCTGTTCTTTGGTTGAGGGTCATATAGATTGTTTTTAGGTTCTGGCTATTAATAATAATGCTGCTATGAACATAGATGAACAAATGTTTTTGTGGTTGAATGTGCATCCTTTGGATATATGTTCAAGAGTGGTATTGCTGGGTCTTGTGATACATTGATTCTCAATTTTCTCCTGAAACTGAGAAACTTCTGTAAAGCAAAGGGCATGGTCAGCAAGACAAAGCAGTAGCCCACAGAGTGGGAAAAGATCTTCACTAATACTACATCTAAAAGATGGCTAATCTCCAAAGTGATCAAAGAACTCAAGAAACTAGACATCAAAATATCAAATAATCCAATTATAAATTGTGTATAGATCTAAAGAGAGAATTCTCAACAAAGGAATTTCCAATGGCTGAAAGACACATAAGCAGTTGTTCGATATCGTTAGCCATCTGTGAAATGCTAAGCAGAACAATTCTGAGATAAGATCTTAACACATGTCAGAATAGCTAAGCACTGAGGACGTCAAAAGCACTGATGACAGTTTATCTTGGAGAGGATGTGGAATAAGGGGAACAGCCCTCCATTGCTAGTGCGAGAGACAACTTGTGTATCTGATTTGGAAATCGGTAATTTAATTTTTAAGTAAAATAATAACTTTTAGAAATATATTACCCTTTTGAGTGGGAAGAAGCAGGTGAAACAAGAAAGTGGTTAGCAATAGAATTGGTCCTAAGTCATTAAAGAAAGACCTTAATATTGCAAAGCACCCATAGGCTTTGGTTCTCTCAGATTACTTTTGCATTATGTTACATGGGGTTTTACATAAAATTTTCTTCATTGAAAGTGTCATTAGTAACTAAATTTTCACTCAGGATGAGCATATCACTATTACAATGATCCATAAACACTTTGGACTCTATAGAATGTACCTATACTTAGATCAATGATGGATTTTAATTAGCCAAAGCCAGGGTTTTCCTGCCTTCCTTACTGACATATGTTGATCCATTTATTACTTAAGAATTTCATACATGAGTGATATTTACATGATATTTACATAATCCCTTTTATCTTCCTTCAATTTTTTTCATGTTCTTTCCATTTCTTCTCAAATTTATGCCATCTAAGTCTTTAATTATGGTGGGACTCAATGCCAAAGTGCAATTTATGTTTCCTGTTGGGTCAAAATTGGCCCAATTAAATTAAATGCAAAATCATACCTTTTCTCTAAATTACCATTGAAACTATACACCTAACTACACTCATCAAAAATTTATAACATAATCATGTTGGTTGTTAAGAGTCAAAAATACTTGGTATAATTAAATGGTACTCTTATATTGGTCACAGCCAACAGTTGTCTGGTTAGACTTGTAGCCCACTCAACAGGTGGGAAAACATGCCCAGTAGTAGAAATGTATTTAACTGCCAGGGACTAGTGAAGTCATGGATTTTATAAGAGAATCTACTACCACCACTTTGATAGACCAGGTTAATTTATAACTCCTAAGAACATTCTAAACATTATCCTTATACCCACAGAACTAAAATTCTGCTCAAAGAAGCATAGTTTTCTATGTATAGGTGTCTGTATTTGTCAGTCTCCTGATTCCTGTTTCTCCATGCTACAATTTATAACATTATAGCTTTTCTTTGACCACATAATCTATGCATTTTAAACATATAAAGTTAATAAAATTTTTAGAGTGTAACTGTGTTCATTTTAACATTAGGTGAAAACGCTCAGCACAAAAGAAATTTAAAGCACAGTAAAAATGTATCAATGTGCCCATACCATTCAACACTTAATTTAAAAAAAATACATTTTCCTTGTGGTATGATTGAGCATCCTTTGGGTATATACCCAAAAGTAGTAATCCTGGGCCTTGAGGTAGGTTGTTTCCTAATTGTCTGAGAAATAGCCATACTGATTTCTAAAGCAGCTGAACCAGTTTGCACTCCTCCCAGCAATGGAGAAGTGTTCCCTTTACCCCTCATCCTCTCCAGCATGAGCTATCATTAGTGTTTTTGATCTTGGCCATCCTGACAGGTGTACGATGAAATCTCAGAGTTGTTTTGATGGCTAAGGATGTTGAACATTTCCGTAAGTGTCTTTCAGCCATTTTAGATTTGTCTGTTGAGAGTTCTCTGTTTATGTCTGTACTCCGTTTTTAAATTGGATTATTTGTTCCTTTGATGACAAGTTTCTTGAGTTCTTTGTTTATTTGGTGTGCTCAACTATGTTCATATCAACTTTATTTGTAATAGCCAGAACCTGGAGACAACCTAAATGACCCCCAACTGAAGAATGGATAAGGAAAATGTGATATATTTACACAATGGGGTACTACACAGTAGGAAAACATAATGACATTTTGAAACTTGCAGGCAAATAGATGAATCCAGAAAACATCATATTGAGTGAGGTAACCCAGAAAGACAAATATAATATGTATTCACTTATCAATTGCTTTTAGACATAAAGAAAAAACAGCCTACAATTCACAACCCCAGAGAACTTAGACAACAAAAAGGACCCTAAGAGAGACATACATGGATCTAATCTACATGGAAAGTAGAAAAAGACAAGATCTCCTGAGTAAGTTG